TACATGTTTTATCCAAGCAGTTGTTGGTTTCATTCACCGTGTTCCTTTGTTCATTTACATTTGGAAATTCCTCATTTTTAACGTAGGGATTCGGTGAAGTAGTTGGGTTGAATTATTACTCCAGTTTTTTCTTTGTGATGCCTTTTTCCCAACTCACCCCATGATCAATGGGAATTTTCTCTTTTTATGCTGACATCTCTGCCCACTTGAGTCTGTCCTCACACCCAGGCAGTGTGTAGATGTAGTTGTTGTTTGTTTGTTTTTATCTTCGATGGGTTTCAGTTCCCTGTGTGTGGACACTAAGATCTCTTGTGACAAATCAACTTCAGAACAGCTGCTTGGTTTCCGCTCACATTTGTATATAATGGAAAGATTTCAGGTTCTTATCCGGTTCTTTTTTGTTTTCTGAACTTTCTGATGTTCTTACCCGTGATGTCACCTCACAGTTTTGCTGTAGAAGGACAGCAGATCTTTCCCCGCTTTGTGTCTTCTTTGTCGAAGGTATTTCCCCGAAACCTGTCTTTGTGTTTAAAAGCTCATTGAATAATAGCCAAGAAAAGTCCGGAGACCCTACAGTCAGAACCACTTCAAGCTTTCCTCACATTTCTGGGTTTGTTTTTAATTCTTTGTTCCCCTGTTATTTTCCCAGTTTATGATGGCGGCTGTTTTCCGTTTCTCTCCTTGCTGATGGTCTGTCTGCCTTCTTTTTTACACAAAGACCTCTCTTTTTCCAGCTGAAGGAAAAGAATGTACTTGTAGTAATCACCTTACATTTATGCTGAAGTCCAGTTTTATGATTGACCTATATTTTCTACTTATGTGGGTGGAATTTCCAAACACACCTCCGAACTGTCAGAGGCCTGAGCAGCGAGACACTCAGCAGTGTTTCTGCCCAGTCGTTTTGTGAGCTGTGGAAGTTCCACTTAGATTCTGTTCACTTCTCAAGTACTAAATTATTTGGCTTCGTGCTAGATTGACATGAGAAACGAAGGGAACGCTCCGATACATAAAATTGCGTGTATTCTCCGACAAAAGATTGTCTTGAACTGGCCTCCATACCAGCCTGTCGTCCTGTAAGGAGTGGAGAGTGGATCTGAAATGACCGCTGGTGACACGGGAGCAAACATGCATCGCACGGTGAAGACGGCAACAAAGCAGTCCGTGACCTAACGAGTCCCGCCCCAGCGTGGCCGGCAGAAGCCAGGAGTCAGCAGGGCAGGCGGGCGGCCGCGCCCTCCCCTCTCCGCCCAGGGCCTTGCGCGTGGCCGGGTCGCCTTGCACGTTTCACCCATGGAATCCAGAGCGAGGCCGTGACCCTGAAGGCGGGGTGCTGAAGAGTCAGTGGATTCGAAGATTCACTTCCCAGGACCTTTTTCCAACCTTGCAGGAGCCTCCCAGCCTGGGAGGCTCCTATCCTCCGGGTACTTCCTGGTTGGAGGTACTTCTTTTACTAGCCCTTCTTTATGCTTCGGAATAATGCTGGAGAGTCTAAATTAGTTCCACTTCCTGCGTGGGCGTAAGTCCCTGCCCTTCTTTCGTGTTTATTCTACACACTTGACCTTAGCCAAAAGGCCGAGAAGTGATTCTTTCATTTTTATTTTAATGTTGAGTAGTTTCCGACACGGCAGTGACATTATTAAGTAGTTAAGGTCTAAAAATATACGATAAACCTAAGGAGCCAATTTATGTATAGGAGCCATAACGTTCATAAAAACCCTTTCAGTTTCTTACATTACCTCACTTTAGAACTCAACATCAGCTGAGTGAGTTAGAGTGCTTTACCAGCCCTACTGGGGCTGGTTCAAGTCCATTTACTTGCCGAGATCTTCAGTCTTAATTATAGCAGAGGCAGACTCAAACTCAGGAGCCGTGCACAGTTCTCTGCCTTAGGTGTTGAGGCCTGGATAGGTTGGTCTCTGAACGGACACCTGGTTCTCTCCGGGTGTTATCTTGCTCTTCCCCAGCCACCCAGCTGCATAATGGCACTTACAAAACAGTGCATTTGGGGCAGTGTTGGAGGTAATGTTTGCAAATCCCATGTGATTTCTGCTGTTAGGCTGGTTCGAACATCTTTAACAGGTTGCTGCCTCTTACATAGAAGGTTCTGTCATCATTTTCCAGTCTTAGTCTTGGTTGCTTTATATCATTAGGTAGTTTGTTTTTTTCCAGGTATTCTCACCTTCTTACTGTCCTATAACCAGTGTTTTTTAACAGAACAAGGATCTAATCTGATGATTACCAAGCCCTAGGGATCTATATCTCAGGGATACATTTTTTTCCCCTGAAATATGAAGTGCTGTTAAGAACATCTCTGCTTTTTATGAAAAGGGAATTCGAACGGACTTTTAAACATGAAAAGTGAAAAGCATCCTGAATGAAGTTTTGTTCCAGTCCCCTGTTAAATCCTAGAAATAGGCTGCGGGTCCCCATTACTTTCAGGAAATGAAAAGTGGCTCAGAAGCTGAGTTAGCTGAGCCACCTCTCTCTCAATTGGTGTGGTTTCTCGGGAACTGCTGCCCAATGCTGCCAATAATGATCCCCCGGGACCTGACCCCCTTTCCACCTCCCACTGCCTCCTCCCTCCGCAGCTCCAGATGCCCCCACAGAAGGAGCTGTGAAGAAGGTGTCTGTACCCTCATGCACTCTGAGGTGGGTGAGGCCAGGCAGGGTGACTCTCAGGATATCCTGATGCCCAGAGGTGCGGTTGACGCCTTCATCAAGGCTTTCTTGAAGATGACCAAGAAATCTGGGAAACATTACTCCATAGCCTAGAAACTGAAGACCGAGCTCCAGAACGGGTGGCGCGAATTCCATCCGAAGTGCAATACATGCTGACATTCAAGACCCTTGATAAGCTCCTTAAGGGCAGAGACTTTTAAACTATTTTTCTCTCTCTCCCCACCTCCAGTGTCAAGCATAGATGCAAACATATAAACTGTACTCAGTGGACGTTAGTTTATGACCAAGAGAGAAGACTTTTTAAAAAGTGTTCTCCACCCACTCCTTTCTCTAGTTGTTAACCCGGGATTGTCTGCCCCTTCTTCAGGAGAGGGGCGATCAAGAGAGTTCTCTGATGTCTCAGGTTTTTTGACCACTGGTGTCTTCTGTCTTGGCTTTGTGTCCTAGCAGCAAGTAGTTATCTATCCAGTGTATGAATTTTTCAGCATTAATACTTAATAAAGTATGTCTTCAGTGATGCCTGGGCTTTTACCTCGTAGATATTTTTACCGTGGGAGCGTCTGGCCGGCTCAGTTGGTGGAGCTTGCAACTCCTCATCTCAGGGGTGGGAGTTCGAGCCCCACGTTGGGTGTGGAGATTACTAAAAAGTAAAGTCCTTATTAAAAAAGATATTTTTATTGTGGTATTTAACTCTTCAATGGAAATCTTATCAGAACCACAATGTAGGGTGGATTTATTGTACCGTCAGTTTTTAAAATTCCTTTGTATTTGTTTTTAAGATTCAACGATAAACAGTCTTGCGTATTGATGAGATCTCACGTTGGTCATCGCTGGGGTGGAGAAGTAGGAGTACGGTTACAGTACCAGTTTTCCAAAAATCCAGCTTGTTACTCTTGAAGGGCAGCACAGAGCCCTGTGTCTCACCTGGGTAGGACTGAACGAGGATTTGCAGTGGTGTGATTTATGATACTACATAATTAGAACAAAGCCCACGGTTTTATTATTATCTGGGTCAGAGAAAGGGAAACACTACAAATGTGGCTCCATTCATTTCTGTCCTCAGGAGGTTCTTTGCTCAGTCACATCTCCATCAAGGGGTTCGCTCCCATTTAGAGGTGAACAAATCTTATATTGAAGTATTTGACTTCTGATAGCTTTTGTACTTAACAGTTATGCGTACGGTTTTCTATTTGTGTCTTCTCTCAAGTGTAAAGTGAACGCCTCAGAGTCCTGCCAGCCCTTCTAACCAACACAGCATGGACATCTTCTGTGTGCCCTCACCGGCTGGCTTTTTCGCTTCTAAATGATCCAGTATCAGAGCCACGTGTATTGTATTCAGAAGAATAATCTTTCCTGAACAACATATTTTTCTCTTGAGTAAGAGATGTGTTAAATTATGCTGCACTGATAGGGGTTTTGGTTAAAAGTATGTTACTTTTGAAAGGAAATTGAGTTTCTGTTTCTGTGTCTTTATGAGCTCTTACATATATAACCAAGGAACGTTAAGTGTGCAGCGTTACAGTACGTTTGCTCTGTTCCCTGGATAAATTAGTCACCAGTTCTTCCAGAATATGCTGTAGAGGAAACAGAGTATGAAGGTGACCTCATGTGTTTTTTTTGTTTGTTTGTTTATTTATTAATGAGACGGAGAAACAGAGGATAAGAGGGGGAGAGGCAGCAAGAGGGGGAGACAGAGAATCCAAAGCAGGCTCCAGCCTCTGAGCTGTCAGCACAGAGCCTGACTTGGGGCTCGAGCCCATGCACTGAGATCATGACCTGAGCCGAAGTCAGATGCTTAACCGACTGAGCCACCCAGGCGCCCCTGATCTCCCGTGTTTAAGACCCACCTCCGATTCTGTTAAATGAGACGCTTAGGTTGGACCTGCTTTTCTCACATCAGTTGTTCCTAATTAATTGCATTGTAAATTTTGTCTGTCAGTTTCTGTGATGAACCTGAATTGATAATCAGGCACAGGTGTGATTGCAATCCTGCTAGTGACCGTTATTGATGAACCCCTTCATGACGTGTTTCCTGGCGGTGACACACCAGAACGAAATCGTGAATTCTGCTCCTTCTTCCTCTAAAACTTTTCTCCGTGTTAACATGACAGGAGAAATTGACGTGGGAGAGGCTGTGAGGCTGTGCTGGCAGCACGTGGCCCGGCCTCTCCACTTGTCCACTTCCTGTCACTCGCACGTTGTATGGCTGCTGGGAGTTGCAGTGACACCCACTCACTTGTCCTAATTCAGACACAGAATCGTTTGAAACTGTGCTCAGACTTGAGTTTTGCCACGATTCCTGTCCTTTGCTATCTCTCCAGGTTCGCAGCCAACCTTGGAGAAGTCTTCCCAGCGGGCGCCGGAGAGCGCGAGCAGCAGCCCCGCCCGCAAGCGGTCTTCGTCGGAGAGCACGTCCTCCACAGGCAAGTCCCTCTGTCTCGTCGCCGGCCTGTACCCGGGCCCTCCCGAAAGTTAGCACACCGCCACCTACGATCACTCACAGTACAGTTTCGTGGGAGACACGGGGTGCTCACTGATGCGGTGCACCCCCTCCCCTCCTGAGTCCAGGGGCCCGCGCTCCCAGACCTGCACTGGTTTTCAGGTGGTCCGGACCGCATAACTCAAAGGGACCGGGTTCAAGAGTAGGCCCGGGGTGTGCTACGGCGGTGTGGGTTGGAGCCATTTTATAGACTTAGATATGTGTACGAATAAAAGTATGTTGATAAAGCAGTCGTTTCCCAAGTAGCTTTCACAGGCATCTCAGATACCCAGAATAATTTATGAGGTGGAAAGAAGAATCTCTATCAATAATTATTTCTAACTTCAACTTAAGTATTTAATGTTTGTATATTGTAAATGAACATAATCTCTTATTACAGCATCATATTTGTGTAGCTTTGAACATAGATTCAAGTTATGCTCCCAGTTTTCTTTTCCTGATAGTTTGTGTGTTTACAAAAAAGCAAATTAGAGGGGAACGCATATACATGTATCTGTCCTCTGTCCTCTGCCTTTACTGAGGACTGGGGAGGGGGAAGTGCTTTTTACTGTCAGTATCCTCAGGGCGGATGGGGCGAGGTAGGGCCATTCCAGGCAGGGGGAGATAATAAAAGAGGGGCACCTGGGGGTCTCAGTCCGTCGAGCATCTGACTTCAGCTCTGGTCACGATCTCACAGTTCTTGAGTTCATGCCCCACGTTGAGCTTTGTGCTGACAGCTCAAAACCCAGAGCCTGGAGCTGCTTCGGGTGCTGCGTCTCCCTCACTCTCTGCCCGCCCCGCTTGTGCTCTTCTCTCTCTCAAAACTATATGAACCTTGGGCTTCTGGGGGGCTCAGTCGGTTAAGCGTCCGACTTCAGCTCAGGGTCATGATCTCACGGTTCGTGGGTTCGAGCCCCGCGTCGGGCTCTGTGCTGACAGCTCAGAGCCTGGAGCTGCTTCAGATTCTGTGTCTCCCTCTCTCTCTGCCCCTCCCCTACTCACACTGTCTCTCTCTCTCTCTCTCTCTCTCAGAAATAAATAAAACATTTATTTATATATATATTATATATATATAATATATATATGTATATATAAACCTTAAAAAACTAAATAAAAGAGCCAGCGTGGTTATGGTAAAGGGACTGAATGTGAGGCTGGAAAGACAGGTAGGGAACCTTATTAATGATGCTGAGGGACCATTGGAAGTTTTAGGCAAGAAAGTGACATATCATTTCTTGGCTTTCTACCCATGTTTTTGTTTTTTGTTTTTGTTTTTGAATTTTTATTTTTGAGAGAGAGAGAGAGAAAACATGTGCATGAGCAGAGGAGGGGCAGAGAGACAGGGAGAGAGAATCCCAAGCAGGCTCTGGACTCTCAGCACAAAGCCTGACACGGGGCTCGAACCCACAGACTGAGATCATACCTGAGCCGAAGTGGGACACTTAACCAACTGAGCCACCCTATCCATGGTTTTTGATTAGGAAGTCACTTGTGACTTATGGTCAGAAAATCTAATCTTCCATTAGTTCAAGGGCACTCTGTCAAACTGTATCTGTGTTGTACTTACTGAAATTATCTTATGATGAGCTTCCCCATATTGGGAGCTTTTTATTAGCACCATGGTGCTCTCAGAGTGCAGTGGAACTGACTCGAGCATGCTGGGGCTTCATCTCTCGGAGCGCTCTCTTTTCGCACCGCTTCAGGCAGGCTCTCAAACAGCAGGGGAGCTACTTTTGGCATCGTCGACCGAGACCGGGGTTTAGCATGCTGCAGCCTGCAGACCAGATGCAACCCAAGGGTTCTTGTAGAGCCGTCATCAGCTAAGAATTGCTTTTACATTTTTACTTCTGTACTTATTTTTTTTGTTTTTTTATTTATAAATTTTTTATTAGTATTTATTCATTTTTGAGAGACAGAGAGAGACAGAACATGAGTGGGGAGGGGTGGAGAGTGATGGAGACAGAATCTGAAGCAGGCTCCAGGCTCTGACCTGTCAGCACAGATCCCAGCATGGGGCTCGAACTCACAGACTGCTAGATAATAACCTGAGCTGAAGTCAGACACTTAACCGACTAAGCCACCCAGGCACCTATGTTTTTACCAAGGGTAGTTTAAAAAACAAAGGAGACAGAAGACATCGTAAGTGTCTTTAAAAGCCTAAAATATTTACTGTCTAGCATTTTGTAGAAGTTTGCCAACCCCTAAAAAGAATGAAATCTCATGGAGATACCCACAAAGAAAAATCACCAAAATATTTTATTTGGGTAAACGAAAGAAACACTACTCAAATCCATGAAGTTACCCTCACCATAAGACCTTACTGAGAGTCACTGTGAATACTAAGCACTGGAGATACAGACATGACTAACGCAAGGTTCCTGCCCTCGAGGACTCAGCCATGCTCACTGCTAGCAGGTGGGTTAAGTCCTGTGACACACAAGTGTGTTGAACCCGAGCCCTGAGCACGTGTGCGGGGACTACAGGAGGCGGCGCAGTGGGTTGAGCGCCCGGCTCCTGATTTTGGCTCAGGTCATGATCTCCTGGCTCGTGGGTTCCAGCTCCACGTTGGGCTCCACGCTGACAGTGCTAAGGCCGCCTGGGGTTCTGTCTCTCTCTCCCCCTCCCTGTCCCTCCCCTGCTCACGTGCGCACACCTGCTCTCCCTCCCTCCCTTCTCTTTCCCAAAATAAATAAATAAACCTTAAAAAAAACCCGACAGTCCTGAAGACGTGACACGCGCTGCTGTAGTTTGAGCGCTGGCGGGCGGAGTAAGGAGTGAGAATGTGGTGCGACACGCTGGCGACAGTGCCGGGAGAAAGGCACAAACCGTAAAAGGGGTGCTGTTTCTGGAGAGCAGTGCGTCACCTGCTGTCACTCGTGTGTGAGGGGTATTAGTGCGATTGTGGCTGAGCGTGAAGCTGTGAAGTAACGATGCGCTGTATCCCGCAGGGCGTAGGGTGGTTTGGGTTGTTCGTGCGTTTGTTTTCATTTGAGGGAGTTGAGACTTTATCGTGGAGGCGGTCAGGAGCCACTAGGGGATTTTGAACAGGAAAGATAAAACTCATTTCATGCATGGTGTAGTTCAAAATTGGACAGATCTGCAGTGCTAAAAACATCCCACGTTTCAGTGGCTCGACACAGGAAAGTGTTACTTTTTGTTCACGCCGTGTGAGCAGCCTGGCTCAGCTCTGGGCGCCTTCCTTGTCGGACACTGTGGAAGCCAGCCTCTATCCGGAATGCTGCTGGTCTTGTGGGAGAGGGTGAAGGGCATAAAACACAAGAACCAGCTCTTAAAGTTTGTGCCCAGAACGAACTGTGACTCCTCACACTTGAGTGATTAACACGGATGGCGCGGTTAGGTCTCACGTCGAGGAAGTGTCGGGTGTGTGCGGCTCTCAGAGGCAGGGCAGCAACCGTTTACGAATAATGGCTTCGTCTACCACCAACACCGTTGTGGACTCTGTCCGCAGCACTGCGCGGGAGGGGACGGACTGTGACATGGCTTCGGGTTGGGATCTGTGGAAATGGAACAGCACAGGGACCACTGAGGCGGAGATGTTAATTAGCCATTGGAGGCAGTGGCTTGTCGTTTGACAGGCGTCCCTGGTCGAGACGCAAAGGCAGCAGCATGTAATGGGGACTTGGGTCTGGCAGCGAGTGAGATTACCCAGCGGGGAAGTACCAGCTTGGGAGGAGGGCAGGAAAGCAGGCTTAAGAAACGTTCACATTCGAGGGAAGCGGAAGAGAAGGTGCCAGTGATGACATAAAAATTTTAAATAGGTTTTTATATAGAAAAATCAAAGAGCACATGTAACAGAAGCCCTTTAATGTCACATGTCACAAAGAGGTCAAGAAAGATGTGGACAGAAAGTGTTAAAAAATTGGGAAGATGATTTTTAAGAAACCACTTTGCAGGTGGAGTTAGAGCAGATTGGCTGCCTGAGAAGGTGCTGGGTTCAGGCGCCGCTGGTACGGACTGGAGCTTTGCTTCCAGCAGGGAGGAGGGAGAGGAGATGTACGGAGCCAACAGATAAGCGTCTCGGTACTTAAAGCTAAAAATGCTAGCTAAGATATGGAAAACATTTCTTAAAACATGGCTGAAATCTGAACTAAGTAGGCAGGAAACCAGAAACTTTCAGAAAGCTCGATTCAGTAGGACTTAGGAGTATTCGTGCTGCTTGCCATTTGCCTGAGTCCTGGTGGTGGACGGCCTGACTCTGGGCCTCATCCAGGAGCAGGAGACAAAGCACAAAGCCTAAGACGCCACCAGCACAGGCTCACGTGGGATTTCCCGGGGAGAGCAGACAGAGACACAGCCGTCACAGACACACCCGTCACGGGACAGCCTGGTGGCTCCCTTTAGGTTTGGCTCTGGGAGGGGCTGCAATAGGGGTTCCTCCCCTCCTGCTCACACCGCCCCCCCCCCACTCACACTGCCCTCCCGCTCACACTCCCTTCTTGTTCACCCTCCCTCCTGCTCACTCTGCCCTCGCACTAACACTGCCCTCCCGCTCACACTGCCCTCCCGCTCACACTCCCCTCTTGTTCACACACCCCTCCTGCTCACACTTCCGACCCGCTCACTCTGCCCTCCCGCTCACACCCCCTTCCGCTCACACTGCCCTCCTGCTCACACTGCCCTCCCGCTCACACGGCCCTCTTGTTCACAATCCACTCACACTCCTCTCCCACTCACTCTGCCCTCCCGCTCACACTGCCCTCTTGTTAACACTCCCCTCCCGCTCACACACCCCTCTTGGTTCACACTCCCCTCCCGCTCACTCTGCCCTCCCGCTCACACTGCCCTCTTGTTAACACTCCCCTCCCGCTCACACACCCCTCTTGGTTCACACTCCCCTCCCGCTCACTCTGCCCTCCCGCTCACGCTGCCCTCCTGCTCACAATGCCTACGGGACCCAGACAGAAATGGAGGAAGATCTGTTGTGGGCGGTAGTGGCCTGAGTTCCGTTCAGAGACAGCTGCAAGCTTAGTTCCTGTTCAGTGTGAACCTGAGTGTCCTGGGTCAGGGCGCCCTCAGCCCCGGTTGACCTGGTGTCCGCGTCCTCGCCAGCAGCCAGAGCGCTAGGAAGGAGGCACCCTCTGTTTTGCCGTCGAAAGGCCAACAGGAGGGCCCCTGGCCAGCTCAGTCCGCGCGGCATGCCACTCTGGGCCTCGGGGTTGGGAGGCCTGGCCCCACGTTGGGTGCAGAGATGACTTAAAAATACAGTCTTTTTTTTTTTTTAAATACAGTCTTTTGGGGGCACCTGGTGGCTCAGTCAGTTGAGCACCCGATTTTGGCTCAGGTCAGGGTTTCATGGTTTCTGAGTTCAAGCCCCGCGTCAGGCTCTGTGCTGACAGCTCAGAGCCTGGAGCTGCTTCGGATTCTGTGTCTCCCTCTCTCCTTGCCCCTCCTCCACTCTTGCTTTGTCTCTCTCTCCCTCAAAAATAAATAAAAACATTAAAATATGCAATCTTTTAAAAATTAATTAAAAATAAAGGCAAATAGCTCACCAGAACTATGTCCTAACCTTCTAGGTATATTCATAGAAATGAAAATATGTGTAGAGACCGTCTGCATAGTAACCGAGATACAGAAACTGTAGAAAACAACTTTGTACAAGATATCTTATGGCCTGTCCTTGAACTGTTTTGAAGTAAATCCAAAGGGATAATGTACTAAAATACACTAAAAGAGTATATGATTTTACTGATGTGTGCAGCCACTGTTCTGAAAAGTCGTGGCTGTGACCTTAGCGGGATCTCTTGGGAGACATGGCAGTGGATTGCCTGGACTTACTTATAATGTGGCAGCTGGGTTTCAGAGAGGCCCAGGTGGAATGTGTCCTGCCTTTTCTAGCCCAACCTGGAAAGCACCATATTCTTACCTCTGTCAAAGTCTCTTTGCTAGAAGCAAGTGACTGAGGGCAGCTCCTTTTCCAGAGGAGAGGCCTTAGGTCCGACCGCTTGTTGGGAGCAGCGGGCAAAGACGTGTATGTACGGGTTGCACTAGCTCTGCCAGCAGGTGGGCCGTTGCTCAGGGCCGGGAGACGAGGTTAGCCTAGTACCAGGTGGCCTGGGTAGTATGAAGGAAAGTGGGTAGGTTCAAGAGGCCGGACTGACGTAAAATCCAGTGTTACGATTTGTGGGCAGAGTAGAGGAGAAATAATAGATGATGTGGCCTGAGCTTGGCTCACAAAATCCCTGGCACATGATTGGTGCTCAGTGTATATGATGTTGAAGTGCTGGCTTCACTCTCACAGTCACTGAGCTTGGCGCTCTGGAGGACCGAGGTTGCAGGAGGAGGTAGTGACTTAAGGCGTGAATAGGAGTTTGAGAAATCTGTGAACCATGCAGAAGTAGAGAAATAGAAAAACAAGTTTTATTCAGAAAATAGAGATTGGGGAGTCATCAGAAAGTAGGTGCTATTGAATGAACTGTCAAAGAGAGCAGGGAGACTTGGGTCAGGGAAGAACCACTTGTGCCAGAGAGTGGCAGGCGGTTACAGGCACAGGCCAGCTACAGGAAGGGGACAGTGCGCATTCTCTGATTGTCAGATAAAAGCAATTAGAATGTGTGTTCCGATCATCAAAGCCGTGAGAACAAGCATGCTCCCGGTGGGGTAGAAACGCAGTACTGGGGGTGCGGGGCCCACGGTTAGATTTGATGGAGCTGCGAGTAATGGGAAGAGAAAGTGGATTGGCAGAGAAACAGTGGAGGCTGGAGTTTCAAAAGCTGAGAGTTTGAAGTTTCAAAACTACTAAACTTAAACAATACTACTAGATATTATTCAAAGGAAGTTATTGGTAATTTGAGAAAAATTCCAGTGTAGTCTGATGAGACCGGAATGTGGAATGCCTGGGCCGTGTCGAGGGGCATCTGGAATTGTGTCACGTTTTACACTCATACAGGTGAGAAATGCATCCATCAACTTCGGAAAAGCATGACCTGTGGTCATTAGTGGGAAACAACGAGGCACTTGGGAGGTGGCCCTGTTCCATATCTGATGTTGGCAAATACGATAACGGTAGCACCTCGCCAGGGGACCGTGAGCGTCCCCCACGTGGAGTGTAGTCACGGACGCGTGCTAAGTGCAGGCTAGGAGACAAACCGCCACGTCACGGGGCCACTAAGGTGACAAGGATGAAGTGGAAGACCGCTTATTTTCTCCGCATACTGGTCACGGTGGAGCTGACAGAAGTGAAGTGAAGTAACTTCTTTCCCCAAGAAGTTTTACTCACATCCTCGTGCTTACAGCACGGCCAGAAAAAGCACCGAACTAGAAACATCATCTATATTGTAAACATTAGCTCTTTGTCTGACATTTAACTGTCAAGTCTCCTAACTTAAATGGACCTTCATTTTTGAAGAAATAAACGATTCGCTTCTGGTCCTCATCTCAGACAGTGAGCATTGTCGTCATTGCTTTTTTACTCGCATATTAATAGGAGGCACAGGCCAGTTTTGAAGTTACTGAGATGACTGTGGTGTGCCTGATTCAGGACCGTACACCGGGGGTCAGCCTGCCTGGGAGAGAGAGATGCATCTGGTGCTGGGATGTTTAATGTCGTTAAGACAAATGGGCTGGTATTCCTTTTCTGCTGTGTAGGGTTATTTAAATGACGAGCTGTGTTCATTTCTTATCTACGTGTGATTTGTCCTCTCATTTAGTGAATGGAGTTCCGTCTCGGAGCCCGAGAGTGCTCGCTTCCGGGGACGACTGCGTGGACAGTCTGCTGCAGCGGATGGTGCCCCGCGAGGACCAGGCGCCCCTGGAGAAGAGCGTCGAGGCCGTGACCGCATCCGCCTCCGTGCCCCCTTCCTCCAGTCCGGGCCACGGCCACAGCAGGGAGCGGGCGCTGGGCAGACCAGACGGCCTCCTCGCGCCCGCGGCCCCCAGCGACCCCTGCGGCAGTAGCATCGCACTGCTTTCCGAAAAGTTGCCGGGCAGCTGTCCGGCCCCGCACATCAAGAGGAGCGCAGTGGAAGCCATGCAGCGCCAGGCTCGGAAAATGTGCAATTATGATCGGATCCTGGCCACTAAGAAAAACCTGGACCATGTCAACAAAATATTAAAAGCCAAAAAGCTTCAGAGACAGGCCAGGACAGGGAATAACTTTGTGAAGCGCAGGCCGGGTCGCCCTCGGAAGTGCCCGCTGCAGGCCGTGGTGGCAATGCAGGCCTTGGCCGCTCAGTTCGTGGGCCCCGAACTGAATGAGGGCGAGGAGAGCGCGGCCCTGCCCTTCCGGCCCGACACGGTCACGGACGTCATCGAGGCCGTCGTCCAGAGCGTGAACCTGAGCCCAGAACACAAGAAGGGGCTGAAGAGGAAGGGTTGGCTGTTGGAAGAACAGACCAAGAAAAAGCAGAAGCCATTCCCGGAGGAAGAACGAGAGCACACCGAAAGGTAATTCCTGGTTTCGTGTTTTGTCTCGTGGAGGGAAACGGCATTTTACACGTGTGACGTGTCCCCGCGCATGGGTTTCTCTTCGTTGTACAAAACCTGCTCTTCTCATCTTATTTACAAGTGTTCCCAGGGCCTCCTGGGGGCTTCAGCTGGCTAAGCGTCTGACTCTTGATTTCCACTTGGGTCACGATCCCAGGTTTCGGGAGTCTGACCCCCCGCGGAGCCTGCTTGGGATTCTCTCTCTTTCCTTCTCTCTCTGCCCCTCCCCCACTTACTTTAAAAAAAAAAGTTTTTATAGCTTCCCAAAATTATAAATAATTAAGTACAAGGCATGTAACAATTCAGTCTAATCCCCTCACTCTCCAGATGAGGGAGTCAAGGCCCAGAGAGGTTATGTATTTTCCCCAGTATATAGCTGGTGCCTGGAATTACTTTTACTATCACACTATCTCCTCCATGCTCTAAATTTGTCTTCTTGTCATCACATACATTTTTCTGCACGGTAGATTTATTTTCTTCATACTTTCCTTGTTACATTTTTACCTTTTCCTAAAGGTATCGAGCACAGAGCCAAAAGTCACCCCAAAAGAAGAACATTTAATCCTTTTGTTATGTATCCAACCAGATTCATTCCCTGAAGGTATATTTGCTATTGTTATCTTTATTTTTTTTATTTTTACTTTTTTAATGTTTATTTTTGAGAGAGAGGGAGATAGAGAAACAGAGCACAAGCAGGAGAAGAGCAGAGAGAGAGGGAGACACAGAATCCGAAACAGGCTCCAGGGTCCAAGCTGTCAGCACAGAGCCTGACCTGGGGCTCAAACTCAAAAACCACGAGATCATGACCCGAGCTGAAGTCGGACGCTTAACCGACTGAGCCACCAGGCGCCCCTGTATTTGTAAATGAGCTAATATCAATATTCACCATTCCCAAATGGCTTTTCCTTTACTAAATGTAGCATGTCAGTCACAGTTACATGGCAACCCTCATTAGAGAAATACAGATTTAAAACTGCTAGATACATTTTAAGCCTCTGCACTTATGTTGTCAAACTGCTTTGTAAAAGCCACACCTATTTGTACTTTTTACTAACATCATACAGTGATAGTCACGTACTATTTACCCCCCACTCTTATCAACCCGAGAAATTATCTTTTTAAAAAATCCTCATCAGGGGCAGGGAAAGAATATCTTTATCAATCTGATATAGGTGAAATATACTTGCTGTGTGTTACTTGCTACTTATTTCAATTTGCACGTATTTGCGTACTAGAAGACATTGGTATTTGTGTACGTTCCGTACCTCTTCTATAAGTGCTCATTACATACAGTCAGAATGATAACCCTGGGGCGCCTGGCTGGCTCGGTCAGAAGAGCCTGTGACTTTTGATCTTGGGGTCGTGAGTTTGAGCCCCATGTTGGGTGTAGAGATTACTTAAATAAATAAAACTTTGGAAAAAAAGAATGATAACCCTTAGTGTTTATTGTATGACATTTGATTTTCTTTAAATTTTCTTGCCAAACAGCAGTAGGACAGTTATCAGTCTTGTTCTCTGCCATCTCCGTTGGTGAGTCCCATGTAGAGGGCCCTCCCAGCTCTCTGCTGTGCACGGCTACAGAAGTCCTTTCCTCGAGCGTGTATACAGGATAACTGTGTTTTCATGAGTGAAACCCGCACTTGGAGGGAACTCAGTGAAACTAAAAGCGCACTGATTGAAAAGTTCTGTCTCTCTTCACATGATCTCATTTCCTTTCAAATCCTGTTCTCATCATGGGCATGACTGTTACCAGCATGCCATGTAGGGGCACCCAGCTGGCCCAGGCAGGGGAGCAGGACTCTCTTGACCTGGGGGTCATGACTTTGAGCCCCATGCTGGAAGGGGCTCCCCTCAGGAGATTGTGCAAGAAAGGACATGACATCGTGAGTTCCCAGGGGCAGCAACAGTTTTTCACCTTTTTCTAACTAGAACCTACTATAGTACTTGTTAGGTGGCAGGAGTTTATTCATCTACTCATGCAGTAAGTGCTTGTTGCAAAATTGCTTAGCGCACATGCGGAGGATGGGTAGCAGTGGTGAGCAGGTAGAGCCCCACCCCTACCCTCATGGGTCGTGCAGCCTAAGTACAAGTAGGAAGAGTTATTTAGTGTTATGAGACCCTATTGTTGAGGTAACTGACCTCATTTCCCTGTGGAAGTAAGTACTAATAAAAATCTGAAGAGCAGACATCATCTGTTTTGTAAAGGAGTGAGGCTGGAGCAGACACGATCGGCTGAGTATGAAAAGGCAGAGCAGGTTCAAGGAAGTGAAAGAATGCTTTTGTGGCCAAAACACAGCAAATTCGAGTAGTGTGGTGTAGAGCCTAGGAAATGAGTCTCAGGGTCGTGCGGCCAGATCACACAGAGGGCCGTGTGTGCCGTGGTGAAGAGTGTGGACACTATTTGTTGGTTAATAACCAGATTGCAAAAGAATAATGTAATGGTTATGAGGCGCCTGGGGGGCTCAGTCAGTTAAGCGTCCCAACTTCAGCTCAGGTTATGATCCCACGGTTCGTGGGTTCGAGCCCCGCGTCAGGCTCTGTGCTGGCAGCTCAGATCCTAGCTCCTGCTTCAGATTCTGTGTCTCTCTTCTCTCTGCCCCTCTCCTGCTCATTCACTTTCTGTATCTCTCAGAAATAAATAAACTTGTTTTTTGATTTTTAAAAACAAATAATAATAATGGTTATGAGCTGGGTTCTAGATCAGAAGAATCTGGGTTCAACTCCTGGTTCTAAAAGGAAAAAAGATGAATTTTAAACACTGTAAAAAATGAAATCATTTCTCTTTTGCACTGCTGCTGGGAATGCACCCTGGTGCAGCCACTCTGGAAACCAGTACGGAGGGTCCTCCCAAAATTAAAAATAGAACCACCCTACGACCCGACCCACCAATAGCACTACGAGGTATTTACCCAAGGGATACAGTGTGCTGCTTCGACGGGGCACATGCACCCCAATGTTCATAGCAGCGCTGTCAACAGTAGCCAGCGTATGGAAAGAGCCCAATGTCCGTCGATGGATGAGTGGATAAAGAAGATGTGGTGCGTGCGTGCGTGCGTGTGTGTGTGTGTGAGAGAGAGAGAGACATGGATGGAACTAGTGTATTATGCTAAGTGAAATTAGTCAGAGAAAGACAAATATCATATGACTTCACTCGTATGTGGAATTTAATGTATAAAACAGATGAATATAAGGAAAGTGAAGTAAAAATAATATAAAAACAAGCAGGGGGACCAAACATAAGAGACTCTTTTTTTTTTTTTTTTTTAAATGTTTATTTATTTCTAGGAGACAGAGAGAGAGACAGCGTGAGCAGGGGAGGGTCAGAGAGGAAGTCACAGACTGAAACAGGCTCCAGGCTCTGAGCTGGCAGTCAGCACAGAGCCTGACGCGGGGCTCGAACCCACGAACCGCGAGATCATGACCTAAGCGAAAGTCGGACGCTTAACCGACTAAGCCACCCAGGCACCCCACCAAACATAAGAGACTCTTATTAAAGACAGCGAACAAACAGGTAGCTGGGGGCTCGTGGGGGGGTGGGAGCAGGCATTGGGGATGCATCGCTGGATTCTACTCCTGAGATCATTGCACTAGATGCTAACTAGCTTGAATGTAAATAAATAAATAAGTAAATAAATAAATAAAATTTAATAACAAAATAAAATCATAATAAAAACATTTAAAACTGAATAAACACTATGCAACAGTTATATACATGAGAGATATAGCTAAAGAGGTGGTTAGAGAGGGATTCATAGCCTTTAATACTTATATTATTTTCTTTTTTTTAATGTCTTTATTTTGAGAGACACAGCGAGCAGGGGAGGGGCAGAGAGAGAGGGAGACACAGAATCTGAAGCAGCTCCAGGCTCTGAGCTGTCAGCACAGAGCCTGGCGCGGGGCTCGAACCCACAAACTGTGCGATCATGACCTGAGCCGAAGTCTCACACTTAACCCCAGGTGCCCCTACTTATATTATTTTCTAAAATGCAGATTATTTATGAACCATGAGTCCAATTAAGGAGTGAGAAAAACAAGAGAATAAGCCCCAAAATGGTAAGTGAAGGAAATGAAACTTACTAAAGCTAAGATACAATCAAGAGACTCACTGAAGACCAAAATTAGTTCCCTGAAGACAATAAAATATATAAACCGCTGGTAAAGTTGATCAATGAAGAAAATTATGAGTTAAAAAAAGGAGATAAGCTGTATATGGGAGATTTAAAAATGACTGCTGTAAGCACGTTACACCCCACAAATTGGAAAACTCAGTTGAAATGTATGTAGTCCTAGGAAAACCCTATTCAAGAAGAGATAGCCTGAGTGTTTCTTTTTCATAAATCAAATCTTGAATTTAAAATCTTGCTGCAAAGAAAGCAGCAGGACCAGAAAATTCTACCGTACTTGAAAGAAAAGGATCATTCCGTTCTCCTTAAAACTCTGTCGGGGCACCTGGCCGGCTCATCCGGTGGTCCATGTGACTCCTGCACTCAACGGTCCTGAGTTCAGAGCCCACACTGGGTGTAGGGATACACACATATGTACATAAACTTAAAACGGAACTCTTTAGAGATGATGGGGGAAGTAGGGAGGGGAATACGCATACAGAAAGTACATAACCATAAGAAATTAATTTTTTTCATCAAGGTAACACTGACGTAGACATAGAAGGGGGTCAGTGTGTAGAGCCTCGCTCACTAGTATCACACGTGCCTTCCCAGTCTAGTCACAGACTGCTTCACCATCAGCCAAAAGCATCGCCTGACTTCGAAGGTGACCACATCCTTACCTTTTTCCTCTCTACCATTTAAGATGCAGCCCTAGACAGCATCATTTAGTTCATCCTTCTTGCCCTTCATTTGGATGGAATTACCCAGGGCGTATACTTTTGTGCCTTCCCTTGTTTTGCTCAGCATATACATATACACCCGTGCTGTCAAATGTTGCTATAGTTACCTTCTTTC